GGGGGGAGGGGAGAGATAGAAAGTAATGGCCTAATTGTCACTTGTTCTTAATTCTGTTTTCTGTAATGCTTTTTCGTACATCTTGACAAGTGACCTATACTTATAGACCAATTTTTTTTGCATTCTATATTGCCTTACCACGGGGTTCGCGATAGACTTACCCCATGTAGTGCACCATGGGCAACGTATACTCATACATAAAGTCTACTTACTGACAGTTGATTTCAAACTGCCATGACCCCACTGTATGACATATTCCACCATTATCACAGTAATCACCTTACCTTACCTTTTTCCCCACCTTTGTCTCTCTTTTACATCTGTGAATCACTCTTCTATTCCCCCTCCCTCGAATTATAGTGACTTTGATGTTCTTTCTCTCTGTGAAGCCCGAAGTCAACAAAAGATCCAATGATAACAATCATAAAGCCAACCATTTGATATTGAAAAATATTCCCTTATCAATTCACATTTATTTAAACCAAGATATATACTTAAATTTTAGGCTTTGCGTTTTATAAGATAAACGACGATTCCTTATTCGGAGATTACTTCACCTCTTTTCAATTCCACAAATTCTTCAAATTACTCATAGAAATTTGATCTATTCTCGTGCATTTTCTTTACTGCCAAATCTCTTAAGCAATTCTGCATCCCAAGTGTTTGAATTTCTTCTTCAACAACGGAGAGCGTATACACGAAAAAATCGCAAGATCTATGAAGTGAGCATTTGCGCAGTTAGGAGCCGAATTAGGTGCCTTGTTCTACAGCCTAATTTGAATATCGATCGATTAGAGATGTGCGAATTTCATCAGCGCGCTGGCCCAAATGAACACTACAGTGTGCAAGGATAGGCAAATAATGCGTCATCATTTTCTATTATTACCCACAGCAAAAAAATATCTTTTATTATTTTTAACCGTGGGAACCAACGGAAACCGCTTACCACAATGTTCAATAAATGATGATGGGGGTGGATCAAAAAGATGTTGCAGGAAACGCCAAGGCATTAGTGAGTCTCACCGAATTTGATCTTCAATTTTGACTGCACAATTATGACTAAATGGGTGTTCAAGGTTCCAAAAATCGAATTTCATGATACATTACAGTAAACAATCCCCTTTGATATCCAAGTTTTTCCAACCGGTATTTGTTGACCAAGCTGCATCCATCTTGATGATTGCGACGTATTTTCAATTGCTGAGAAGCGACAACAGCATTTTATGGTGTTTAGTCGTTTATAATGTTATTATAATGTGCAGATATTATTTGCAACTGTAATATTCAGATTACTTGATAACGAAATTTGATAAATTTTGAGAAAATCACTAAAAATGTTACTAACGATTTGAACTCTTAATGCCCGATTCATTTCTTTGAAAAGGTATCCAACCTCACATGTCTCTCACGGTAGACTGTTTCCGACGACGTGATGAGTTTTTGTGGTTTCAGACAAAGTCTATAGACGTATTTAACATGCTTCAAACAGTAAAAGCGCCTTCTGTTACGAGTCTAGCACCAATGTAGCTTATTTTGAAAGAGTGTTAAAGATTGATGTTTAATCATGATGTAAACTTAGAGCAATCCAAAACAGAAAGGAAATTAGTATAAATGTGTAATTATTTTCTCACTAAGAGACGTTTCAGAAGAGGAAATTTGGGAGATTTCAGTTTAGAACTCACTCTTTGCTGAATCAGATGTGACATCGTAAGTACTCATCAAAATGTTACTTTTACTACTATCAGCTCATGTTAAAAACTAGGAGAATAAATACAAATAAAAAGCTTTCATCTTAAGCGCAATAATAGGTTCACAATTTGCACAGTGTAAAGTGAAAATTCTAAATCTGTTGATGAAAGGCCAATTGATCTCGATAAGGAAGCCTGTATTTTGCCACTATGGTCTTCACTCCCTCCAACAGGTTTTTCTGACTGATCCTATCATTCAATTAATGTGTGTCCTAGTATATAGTTTGAATGACTAGTGTCTACCCAAATATGTATCAAAGTAAGATACGATGGGGTCGGGTGAATATTGAAGAAAGTAACCCAATCAAAACAGACTGAGTAGACAAAGGGGTTGGGTGTCATCATTAATTTCAAATAAGCTCATAATCTCGTGGAAAGCCAGTAATCAAGAAGCGGAACCTCATGATGAGAGTAAAAACCATTTGAGTATATGATTAAGTTCTCCAATTTCACCTCTTTGCATATAGATAGAATTTGCTCTAAGTGGAAAGTAATTGAAAAAAAACGATGAAGAAAAGTACTGCTGCAGTTTATATAAACACATTATCTTATGTTTGATCCTAGTTTCTCTCCCGAGTATAAACCTAAATGTAAAAAATGCCTCAACGTTGTAGATACTTTTTAAGTAGCCTCTAAAACCAACACCCGATCTCATATCCCGCCTTCCCCCTCTCCCCTTCCGTTAATTTCCCATTCATTAACACTTTGGTTCTTAAACCCACCTGAGTCCCTCCTTGATTTAACATCGAAGTACCGTAGCCTCTCGCTCATTGGTCCATTCGAAGTCAGCCATTCCACATCCAACTACCCACTAGCACACCTCTTCTTCCTTGTTATCTTACTGAATATTTAACACCAACACACGTGCCAACCTCTGTTGAATTTTATCGCGGGAGAGGCCACAATGTCAAGCCTTTCCATCCAAATAATTCCTCACCACTACATAAAAGGATTTTTTTATTTTTGACTAGCCAAGAAAATTTGCAGATTTTCACACCCATCTAACATTGACTTTTGACATTTGGCACTGCTACCGCCTGTGTTTTAAGCAGTTTGCACATTTTTGGCAGATGCAAGATGAAGTACAAATTTGTGTCAACGTAAGAATTATAGTTTTAGCAATAAAGATAGCATTTGTTTATACTATTGATTAATTTATACTATATTTGTTCGTTTAAATTGTACTCTTAGAGAAAAGTCAATGACATAAAAGTAGTAAGAGTTAAGTTGAAAGCACCTTTCTAACTTCTGCAAACTTGAAGAAAAGATCGATAGAATCATGGAAGATAGTAGCCTGAAAGTGCACATCTAGGGCGGAGGAAGACTTAATATCTGATCCGAAATTCTGATAATTTTTAGTATCTAAAGCAAAAGAGAAAATTGGTATGTGAAACAACGACCTATCCCTACTTACGTTGAGCAGCTATCGCAATCGTCGATTTCAGATTATTTTCTGTTGTACTGTATGCAATTTTCCCCCTGTTGGAAAGCAATTTGTCCACATTCTTCCGTTTTTAATTTTACTCCACTACTCAGTTAAATTTTGGCTCACTAATTAAAGAGACGTCAAATCCCATCCATTCCCTCATTAAAAATATTCCGCCTTCTTCCTCTTTCGTTGTAGATTTAATAGAGTAAGTCCCCTCTGTTCTATACCGCTTTGAACAATAATTTCAAATCTACGTGGATAATATAAGACGATGGCATAGTACGTTAGCTTACAGAAAGGAAAAACTCGACATCTCATTGATCAATTTTTTTGTTTAATAATTTTCAAAATGACAAAAATTTGTAATGCATATATGTTACTACAAAGAGGGGCTATTTAAAAAAAGATTCGTATTAACAGAAGGTGAAAAAGAAAGAAAAAGAGTTCTACTCCTCCCCTTCATCCAAACAGACTAGAAACAGAGACCGTCTCGTCGCTACAACACACGACGCATAGGGTTCCGCAGCTGCAGCAAATCCAATTATCTCATCATTATCTGGCAGAGCAACAACCTGTTGACGGGCAACGTGAACCACCTTCGACCCTGTTGAACTTGAGCTCGAGTCCCCGTCGGATTTTCTGTGCCGTAGTTCGGTGAGAGCACTCGCTGCTGGTTGCCAGTACACATAGATATGGCGAGTGATGTCCGAAACAGCGACGAATTGTGGCGTACAGGGGAACTGAGATAGGTCAATAGGGGGTGAAGCGACAAAACGACGGTTCTGCTTGCTGGCTAGAACATAACCGAAGGCTTGAAGAGTTGCTACGTGAGACCAGGATGTCGAAGAGGTCTCCGGAGCCCAAAGAAGACCATCAACGTCGTGGCGAGTACAGAGAATATGAGAACAAAGATCAGGGGAGTCGAAATCAGTACGAGTAAGGGCTGTATAGAGCTTCTGGTGACCGAACATTTCAGCCTATAGAAAACATACAGATAATGCCAGTTTATGCATCAGACATCTTTAGCTAAAAAAGACAAGAATGTATTTGCACTTAAGTTGAACTGTAGTGAGATAGAGGCAAAACTAAATCGCTTGAGCTTTTCATGCTAGCACAAATGCAAATTGTGGAAAATGCAGCCATCGTGAACTGCCCCCCCCCCCCAATTTTAGAATTCTTAAAGTAATTAATTACGTCTTTTGAATCATTTCACACAAGGCCGTGCTTTTAACAAATAATTCATTCATTTTGTGCTGAACTGAATTTATTGGGGTCTGCCATTAGAGTTTCCCACAAACAGATGCGATGTTCACAGTATTAAGTTGATAACCGTAAACTCTGCGATGGCTAAACCCCAATCTCAAAGCTGTCATTGGTTGGCAATTGCACTCAGGGAGAGTAACTGAGTGCACTCATTAGGAGTAAAGAAAGGGCTTTGTGTTTTGGGGTCTCTTGGACATAATTTTAACAGACAACTCGTTAACAAAATGACAAATACGTATTTTTACGCACAAGGCGAGGACAAAGAACACGTCCAATCCTGTATGTCGAAAGAGACATGGGTGGAAGAATGTAGCTGAGCCGTTGTTTACAACGGCTGATATTGCACCTTCATGTTAAATTTGCACGTGTGGGGGGGAGCAATCAGAAGAATGTGAACTGGATTAAGAAAGTGCTAATGTGACCGAAAACGTTCATTCTTGAAAAGACATAACTAATTCAATTTACACCTGCCTACCTTTAAAAATTAAGCAACAATAGAATGCTGCGGGGAATGACGTACGAATATATAATAGAATTTATATATCATATATATTTCAAATTATATCTGCAAAACAACTACATAGGTGTTCGCAAGTTCTCTTCACATCAGCCCCCTCACTTCATATAACCCACGACATTATCAATTGTAAATGATCATGAGGGAAGTCACGAAACCCTTACAGCAACACTCTTAAGACCTTCCTGATATAAGCAGTAATTCATTTACTACACCTTTCATGGGGCAATTTCTACCCAATAAAAAAAGTTTACCTATCATAACTGATCAATAGAGAAAACCATGATTGCCGTCAACTACCACGGAATGGCCATGTTGGATGAATGGAGCATTCCTTGTGATGACACATTCCAACGTACTCATGTAAAGCAAAAGAAATAACACTCACAATCAAGAGAAAGCATGTGAACAAATGCAACAAAAAGCAAGAGAATACTTAATGCTTTGAGTTGTGCATATTCTTGAAGGAAACAGTTGCTGCATAGTGTTCTGAAGTTCCAATTTCATGGGTGATAATTACATTCATGGTATTAACAACTCGCTCATCGACTGATTTGATACCGTGGTGAAATATGTCACTTCGACATATTGGTGTTTTAATACAATTTAAGCAAGTAATTGAGACCAACAACAATTTTAACGCAGCAGACATCAATGCAGTTCACCCAAGGCGAGCCTGTAATGACGCAAATAATTGATATTTAATGGGGATTGGCCTCTGGTACTTATGCTGAACATTTTAGAGCCTCTTCGGTGCACGAACTCACATTCTACTACACTACTCTTGGACATCATCGCTATTCACTGAAAGTGTGTGCGTGTTGATGGGGTTCAATCTTGTGATATTGAAAATGGCACACAAGAATATTAACCACATTGTCACTACGGCAGTGAATTTATATGATATTTCTGTTGTAACACTGTAAACATTGCGTAAATCAGATTCAATGTACTTGATAAGAGTGGAAAATTGAGAAGTGGTCTATTTTGAAAAGGCAAATGACAACACCACTCAATTCTATACAACTTAGAAAGTCAAAGTGTATTGAAATTGAATGAAATGTTTTTTGTTCTTCTTGATTGTCAAAATTACTGTGATGATTTCACGAAACAATGTTACCGCAAAAAAAAGAGTTTATCATATGAAAACCTCAAACAGACGCAAAAAGGCACGAGAGTTGAGAACTCGTGTGCGAATGACGTGTATGGAATAATGATTCATGCCGACTCTTGCATAACACAGAAAATAGAGCTGACTCGGATTAATCACAACAGAAGGCAATTACTCAGAGGTAAAACACACCTTACGGTTAGTCATATGTAACATTACAAAAACCACAGAAGAGGAATTTTCGCACCAACATTCCATGGTGATTTCATGGAAAAAGGCATGCAACAGTTCACATAATTCACCTCTGTCGAGGTAGGACAAGGTGTTATGAAGCCAAGTGAAATACCTTCGATTCATCTATGTGGCTACGTGAACTGGATCACCGATTATTAGGTCTGAGAACGCAATCTCACTACTGTCGAGGTTATTTGCTAACCAGGCATTTAATGATTTCCTACGTAGCTATTAAAACGTTCAATTGACTATTTTAAGCATAATAAAAAAACTAGAAAGATTTTTTTCCTTTCATGTGTTTTATTATCGATTCGAAGGGATTCCCGCGAACACACACCTTGATATGAAAAAGACAATCTGTGAAGAAGCGGACTCTCTTCAATTATTGGCTAATCAGACTACCAATCATTCATCATGTATGTAAACCTTTATTGAAAACTGCCGTTTAGTCACAAGTATTCTTCCTACTTTTGGAAGTATGAGTATTTGTGGCCTTACTAATGAAGTATGCAAACGTCCAAGTCTAGATTAGAGTTTATTTGGTGAGCTTCACCTGGCTTAGAATGCCCATCCTACTCTCATTTGCTTAACCATAGTTCTAGGGTACACCATCCAACCATCCAATTAAATCAATTGATCGACAAATAAACCAGAAACTCAGGGAGCAATTAATGAAATTTGAGCTTTGGAATATTTATATATCATAAAGTTAACTACGTACATTGCCAAAATTGGACAACTATGAGCTTCCAGAATGAAATAAAAGATTACAACATGGTTTTTCCCTTACCAGACTACCGTGTTTATAATTTTCAAATTAGCTTGAAAATAAGAGCAGAAAAAATGCAGTACAACATTAGTCAGTGTCATATAGGTCAGTTTATGTGTCTGTGTGGTCAGAGGACACTAGTTTGATACTCAATATTAGGTAATAATAGTTAAAAAAGGAGACTAGTGAAAATTGATTTTCCGATAAAAAAACGTCTGCCAAAGAGTAGCTGGATTTGACTTACCAACTTCCACGCGTTAAGGCAATTGATTGGAAAGAGGATTATCTTTTGGCCCAATGTGAATTAAGGAATGAAAAACTCGCAGAGTTTTCAGAAACTTTAGAGAAGAGGAACCGTTGCAGCTGTGATTCAATTCCCCAGCAAGCCCAGACCAACAAACTATGTCACATCAGAAGTAATATATCTCCTAAGCCAACTGGTACCTTAAACTGACAGAATAACTGCAAAACACCTCACACCAAAACACCTGGCATGGGTGAAGAAACGTATAGCAGAAAAACTCTTACGAGAAACACTGGATGACCACCGATGGGTGTCATTCTCATGCATTGTAAAAGGGGCCAAGCCTACTCGATAGCCACTAAGCCACTGCTAACAAACTCCTCCCTTGTTATACGATTTGTAAATAAAACCCTATAGATGGGCCTCGCTACAAGAATTATAAAGCTTTTTCGACAAGTGATGAAAAGGAAATTTAATACAAGAAAGAGCATATGCAAACCAATGATTACTCAGCGATCTACCCTCAACACAATGTAGCCTTTTCTCGTTTTAATATGACAGCAAACAGATAATAATTAATTGGTATTTACTACCGGAACCACAGTGTCCCATAACCAATAAAACTCAGACATGACATCAAGTTATCAAAGAACAGTTGAATACTAACTGAAATGCAAAAGCGACGAGAAAATGCCACAAATTGGACAGAATAAAAGATGATGTTATGCTTAAGAACCTCCCAAAATTCAAGGTGTGAAAAGCATTTGAAACGGAGAACAGCATAATAGAACACAAACTTTAGAAATCGACTCTAATTTTATGAATGAGCTCATGTATAGAGTGATTGGTACTTACCAATTGGCCGATTAATCTGGACTTATGGGTTACGTTATTTAAGTACACACACTTTGAAATAGCCAAGATTCTAGCAGAGTAGAAAGGCAGTATACACTTCATTCGAGGTGGACGTTAGTCTCGAAATCTAACTTGTCAATAAGAATTACAAAATTGCAAACTTCCTCCCAATTTTGCTTGAATGGTGACAATTTTACACAAAATGTGCTTTTAATCAACAAAGGATAATCGAGCAGGGCAGTGACCACATGAGAGAACAAAACCGAGGAAAATATTTATTCCTTACAAAATCAGTCTTTACATTTTCAATAAATAAAAAGAAAACGGGTAACAGATAACATATTCTAAAAAACGCGGAAGGTTACTTAAAATGGACAAAGTTTTAAATTAGCCGTAAAAAACTAAGTTTTGGCATCAGAAAAAAACTAGATCAATATTGTTTTATTAAACAGGAAGGCACGAATCCTAATAAGAAATTAACACATGCTAAGAGGTGTAATTCTAACTAAAAGGAATGAAATAAAATTGATAAAACTAACTCTAACAACAGCTTTCAGTGTAGTCCCGTCGATGCGCTGCAATATCGAATCATCATCATCATTGTCATGGATCATGTCAACATCCTCCAATTGTTCAACATTGAAGCAGCTCTGCATCGGTTCATCAGTAACAATGTTAGAAACGGTGGGCAAAGATTCTTCATCATATTTTAAGCCAAGGCGTTTTTCTTCATCAGGATTTGCAAGGAGATGAGGCCAGGTACCTGGTTCTTCTTTAACTAGTGTGATATCAATACTGAGAGTGAAATGGGAATTGTTACTTATATGGTATTAGTAGATATGGGTTTGTAAAGTAGATTTCGGCTAACCTATTCGTCTCACGATCATAAGTCCACATTGTACCACTAGCTTTTACCGGAGCAAACAACCGAGCAGAACAAAGCTTAACATCACCTGCATCAGTTTTAATTGAAAGATCGAGTCGGCATGAATTAAGATCCTCTTCAATTTCTTCGCATGGATTACAGACAACATAAACACCACATTTGGGGTCACTGATCTTGTGTTGATCGCTAAGCTTCACGAGAATGTTTATAAGGCTACAATCTCCTTCCGATAGAGAAGGAAGGGATTGCATCCATGTAAAAGTAACATCTTGGCTGTTATCTTCAGATTTTATGGTCTCAATAGAAGTTTGAGGTTTAGCAGAAGGTGGTTTAATATCGGAATTAGACGTATCCAGAAGAGGAATAAGAGGTTTGGTAGAACGAACGGTTAGTGATTCAGCATGTCCTTCAAAAGCCACATGGTCAGGAAAAGTGACGCAGCAAAGGCGTCTGTGTCTTGTTTGGCTCCAAGTTTCCTCGGTTCCGGAAATAGTAAACCAATCCAAATAAGTTTTCGACATTTCGTCATCAGATTTGTATACGGAAAGGAGAATGTAGTCAATTTGTAGTTTGCCATCACACGTACGAGTTGTAACGGCATCAACAAGATAGCCGGATTTAGAAAGCAGATCAACTTGTTGCTCATAAACGACTTTCCATGATGAGAGAACATCAGACGATCTATCTCCAGTATGTAACAAATAAACATGATCCGAACCAGTACACAACAATGCATAATCACGCAAGCAAATAAGCGATGTATTGTAGATTACGGATGAATCTGAATATTCCTCGCTCGGAATAGTGAAAACTGTTTCACCACTAGAAAAGGCTTCTTTTCGTGAAGAAATTGCCAAGGCTTTGATCTGAATAATTAAAAAGATTAAAATAAAATAATCACCTTTCCTGTCGAAGTTCGATAGTAAAGATGGCATGGGTTAAGTCTATCTTGAAACAGACAATTATGTAGAGAAGAAAGGCAAATATTTAACTTCGAAAAATTATCTTGCGGAAGGGATTTTAGATCAATCCCTGCGAATGAAAACGACGTAAAATAAAAAATAGATTTGAATACCGTCATTATCTAACGTTGTAATTATGAAACCCTTTTGAAGAGAAAGCTTGTATGATTGGAATTCCGGATCGAGTAGATCCCTATTAGGATGTAGGGTGGTATTCATTACAATACAACAAAACGGCAATTTGAGAGATTTTGTACGTAGGTCAAAGCTGAAAGTTTTTCTGGTAGAACCAATGGGAGAATCATGAAATTTAATTCACCATTATTTCGATAAGTAGATGGCAAAATATATCATTCCGTGCAAAGTAGCATACTAAATGGTGATGGGCTTTTCAAATCTAATTATTAATTTTGGTTACCTACCAACAGGTTGGATGGGGCGTAGTTATAAGAGAATTTTATATTTTCAATATAAAAAGTTCGATTTGTTTCGTTTATCTCAATAAAATCATTGTTCAAATAAATGCTTTATGGTTTACATATTAATTTTATTTTATCTTACTAATTTGCAAGGTCTTGCCAATAAATGTTCGGCCCATATTCATGATACCTGAAGCGTATCAAGGTAGTATTGATTCCGATTTATTTTCATTCCCAATATTTTGAAATCACGATTATATTGATTATGTGGTTCATCGCTTATAAGCACGAAAGTTAAGTATTACCAAATTATAATCTTCTATAGATGAGTATATGCACCGCTACCGACGTGTATTCAGCGGCATCTATAATTGGCCAGGATCTACAACTCCTAATTGATCAATATGGCTCGGATGATTTCGAAGGTCTGATGTTCAAGGTTATTCGTGCACTTGAAGAACTTGAGTTTTGTGTCAACCATTCGTCAGATGCCGAAAAATTGATTGAAGAACTACAAGAAAAGAATGATGCACTTAAAGCTGAACGCAATAAAAATGAGTTTCCGGATTTTAATACGGTAATTTTGGCATTGTTTTTTCCTTATCTTAATTCTATTGCTCTATGTGAAAGATTCGGTCTTGGGCGTTGGTTTTGTATTATTTCCCCTGTAAACTAGAAGATGTATCGGTCAAAATATTGAAAGTTTACCATTTCTAAGCACTTATTTATTTTTAAAACCTCTCTCTTTTTATTTAAATTTTGTTAGACGCAAAATTCTCTAGTTTCGTTTCTTTTTAGAGTCAATGTGGGATTCTATTTCTACTTGTATTAATTTTTTAATGAGTCCCTATAAGCTCACTTCCCCACCCTTCATCAACTACGAATGTTATCAAACCCTTTAACTTATCAGCTTCTTCTGTTCATTTACGAAGATCACTATTTTTGCACTTATCACTTATCACAGTTTTCATGTTTAGTGGAGTGTATTGACTTTTATCTATTGTCAGACCCTCATTAAAAAATTATAAAATTGAGCATCGATCAAAAGTGTTCTGAGCCCCTGAAATCGCTTATTGATTAGAATCAGAAGCTAATATTCATTGTGCTATTTCACTCTTGTATCCATGTACGTTTATCTTAGTTGGTATATTGTATTTAAAGTATAAATTTGCCAACAAAAGATTTTCATTTCTGAGCATTTGGTTTAGAGGATCATAAAATTAATCGTTTCTCCGATTTTCTTTAACAAATGTAAAAAGCTGCAAGACTGAATTTCTGAACAGGTAAAATACTTACAATTCGTACATCAAGTCTTAAAAATGACGAATTTTCGTTGTTTTTTGGAGTTGGTCGAGTTGCCAGTACTATAAGCCTGGTCAAAATGTTCTTTTTTTATTTTCCGTAAGGATCTAGATTTAATGCAACAGAGCTGGTATAACGAAACCCAACACCTTATGGATCAAATCGCCTCATTAGAGTCTGATAATCAACGACTCAAATGCCATTTGGAAAATGCACAGGCTGAGTCTACGGCAACAGGGACAGAGAAGGAAACTGCATCAGTTTCGGAATTGGTAACGGGACGAGGAGACAAGGAGACCCAATCTAAACGTCCTCCGTCTCTTCCTATCAAGTCTTTGGAATTTGACTCTCTTTTGGCTCACACGGAAGAGAGACTTCAACTTATTCAACAAGAAAGTGGGTTTTACGTCCTGTTTCCCTTTTCAATTTATAACAGGTCAATATTATTATTATATCAAATGGCAGGGGTTTTGATAGTTATCATTAGCCCTTTAGTTGACTTCAGTCTTCACAGAGGGGGGAGGGAGGAAC